TTTTTTTTTTTTTTTTTTTTTTTTTTTTTGTGACCTGTAGCGATTTTCGGCACAGTTTGGAGTGGTTTTCATGTTGTTTGCTCTTGATGTGTCTAATTTTGTCTAAATCTGCGTTTCTCATCTTGGTGGTGTGTCTAATTTTGTCTAATCTGCGTTTCTCATTTTAGCGGCGTGTCTAATTTTGTCTAATCTGCGTTTCTTATTTTGCCCGTTCTTTCGTGTTCTTATCTTTTTTTTTTTTTGGGTCTTTGTGACAGGTAGAGACTCTCGCACAGTTTGGAGTGGTCTTCATGTTGTTTGCTCTGGGTGTAGATTTCAGCACATCGTCTATGCAGAGAGTGCAGATGGTTGCACTCGGAGGAGGCTTTATCCAAATGACAGTCTCGATGATTCTAGGTGGAGTTTCTGCGCAGTTGTTTGGGGCGAGCCTGCAGCAGGGAGTCTTTGTTGGTGAGTGGTGCAATTCGCCGGTTCGCCAATTTTAACCGTCTTTTGTGATCTTCCCCTCTGACTTTGAGGTTGACTTGCTGCTCTTTCCCCCTCATCCCCCCCCCTGCGCCCCCCCCCCCCCCTCTCATGACCTGCTTTCAACTGTGCTGGTGAAAGAGAAGAAGAAGAAAGAAGTTTGAGAAAACGTTAAATTATTGTCTACACTCACCTGCTTTCAACTGTGGTGGTGAAAGAGAAGACGAAGAAAGAAGTTTGAGAAAACGTTAAATTATTGTCTACACTCATCATTAGTCTTGTAAAAACCAAGTAATGGCCAGGTGAAGAGATTCGATATATAATAATCTTCCCTCTCCCCTTCCTTCCTGTTTTTCCACTCCCTTTTCCTGCTCTGAAACTGTGCTGGTGAAGGAAGAAGAAGCAGAAGAAGAAGCAGAAGAAGAAGCAGAAGAAGAAGCAGAAGAAGCAGAACCAGAAAGAAACAGAAGAAGAAGCAGAACCAGAAAGAAACAGAAGAAGAAGCAGAAGGAGAGGTGAAAGAAGCAGCAGCAGCAGCAACAGAAGAAGAAGAAGAAGAAGAAGAAGAAGAAGAAGACGAGAGTTTGAGAGTCCTCTGCCAAAAGGTGTTTGCATCTAGGCTGTTTGGTCGGGCGCCCAGGCACCCAACTTGTGCCCTGTTACATGCCCAGGTGCTTGGCCAGGCATGAACTCCAGGCATGGTTCCGGCCATCTGCAGTGCCAAAAGAAAGAAAGAAAGAAAAAATAAAGAAATTATGTTCTGGGGGAAAAAATGTTTTGTGGAATTGCAATGCAAACGACTTTTGGCTGAGGGTCACATCAGAATTCCTGACGGAAATGGAGATAAAAGAAAAGAACGGAATCGGACTAAGGCACCCCCTTTTAAACCCCTTCAGCCCCTTAGAAACGAATTTATACCACCCCTTCCTCCCCTCTCGACAGCCAACACTCGAAAAAAGCAAGGAGAGTGGATTAGGGCTCCTCTGGGTATCTGCACCC